TAATTTTATTTACAACGCAAAAGTAAAAAACAGATACCTCACTGACATCATGACACACTGATCCACAAATAAAAGTTCACACAACATGCGAATAAAAGAAAAATACCGCGAAAAAAAATTTAATTTCTTTGCATTACTTTTGTTTCTTTCTTAGTGCGATAAAACCCATAATTAGTTTTAATACGGAAGCAGATATAAAACAAAATTATGTGGGAGATGAAAGTGGTTTAAAAAAAAACGTAATTATGTTTAATTTTAAAGTTGGCTGCTGGAAGTTTTTAACTTAAAAGAGATTTGTGGGGCTTAATAAAAAAACACATTTCTCTACTTTAATTAAAGCAAAGAAATAAAGAAAGAAGGGGAAAAAGAAAGAAAGAAAAAAATAAAACCTAATTTAATAGTAAACATCTTCCAGTTAAATTTTGTAATAGTTAAGGTATTACATAAATAACAACGAATTTAAACAAAAATATATTTAAATTGAAATAAAATAAAAAAGCTGATTAAAAAAAAAAGTAAACGATTTAAATATATTAAAGCTTAAAACTTGTAGAAAAATTAATTTAAAATTTGTTACAACAAAATGTTTTAACATTTTTTTTTTTTTTTAATTAAATTCATTTAGATCTTTGATAATGCAGTGTGACAAATAATGCTCTATTAAGTTTTATTACATAAATAAATTTAACAAAATTTTAAAATAAACCTTAAACAATTAAAATACTTTTAACATATAAACTATCTGTCGGATTTATTTATTTATTTTGTGGTATTTTAATTGTTTGTCCATGTGTGTTTTATTAGTGCATAAATTTACAATTAGTACCAGACTGTTGTCGCATATTTTAAATTTGTCAACACTGTTTTTTTTTAAATAAATTTTTTATACATGTTTTTTTTTTTTATTTAATCTATTAGATGATTTGAATATTATTCCCTAATTATTTTTCAATATCGTAAAAGAAACCACACCAAACTGTAATTTATGTTTTTATGCAAAATTTTGGAAATAAATACTTCGGTAAAGGCTTCACAAATTAATGAAATTTTCATTTTGCTTGTTTTTTTAAATTATGAGAGAAGATGTTATCTTGTTTTTTTTTTCAGATGATCAAAATCATTTAATTTATTTATGTTTTGGTTTTTTTTTAATTTAATATCTGCCATAAATTGGGTTTATAAAAAAAAAACACAATCAAAATTGGATTTGGAAATGTTTACAAGTTTGCCTGAGTTATGTCACAATTGAAATTATGTCATTTATTGCTATTTACAAGTCAATGTGCAAGTTTTTTGATTTAGCGATTACAAACGTGAAAATTGATTGCAACTTTAAGAAATTTTTCACAGTTTAAACATTTAAGGAAATTTTTGACATCCATTTAAATTTACGAAAAAGATGTTACAAAAAGTTTTCGTACTTTCGTGAAATTAGAAAAGGATTTGATTATCTAATATTTCGTATTTTACAAGAAATGATAGTAGATATAACGAAAGTTTTATTTAATTAAAATGTAATTAATATTATTACTATGTTTAATTTAACATAAATTTACGAAAAATATATAACAAAAAGTTTTCATACTTTCGTAAAATTAGAAAAAATATTTCATATTTTACACGAAATTTTCGTAAATATTACGAAAAAAGTAGTTACATAAAGTTAAGCATGGATTATTTTCAGTGTGTATTATAAGATAACTGTCTTAAGAGACACTGATCTAAAGAAAACTAATTTTCTACAAAAAAAATATTCTAGTGAAGACACTGATCTAATGACAATTGTTTTGAATAAACACCGATTAAATGAAAACTGCCTAGGTACTGTTAAAAACTGCTTTGAAAAGATAATGTTTTAAAGAAAATGATTTTGTATTGACATTTGTCTAAAGAAAACTGCTCTAAGGATAATCTGTTCTAAATAAAAGTGTCTTGGGTACACACTGTTTGATTAAAAAAGATTTCGCATTTTAAACAAAATTTTTGTAAATATTATGAAAAACATAGTAATATAATTGTCTTAAGAATACACCGAGAAAACACTTTTCTAAAGAAGATATCTTGAGTGAAGACACTGGCTGATTTGTTAACGTGGTAGTTCCCTACACGCGAACTGTCTAGTAGAGTCGATGTAGCATTGTATAGTATAGATTCAGCCTTCATCTCTGGATATCATTAAGCTTAGATCCAGATATCTTACCAAGTTTAGATATGAAGTAACTGTCAAGAAAACAGTTTATCTTAACGGCTAGGGCAGGGTATTCACAGAGAAGACCGTTTCTTACTTTTCCCTGTCTTTGCAACTGCGACATTGTTCATTGAAGGGGAGCCTTGCATGTCTGCCTATCACCCAGTGTCTTGATATAACTACTATCAACCTAGATATATCCCGCCTACTTCGGTTTATAAGGTGTCTTGTGCGTTTTTCATTTGAAGAGGTCCACAGTAACTTGGCCCTTTTACTTGTGTCTCTGTTATTCTACCTATTGAATAAAGAATCTGAGGATACTGCTCTTGATAAAACCTAACACTACTGAAACGGCGTTGGACATATCAAGAGCGGATCTCGTTCTGGCAAGTTCATCTGCTTGTTCATTTTCATAACAGTCCCTATGCGTAGGGACACAAACAAGAGAAACGTCAGACAGACGACTCAGCCTTGATAGATCCTTCTTGCATTGTCTAAGTAATAGGGAAGTGATAGTATAAATAGACACTGATCTCGTGATAATTGTTTTGAATAAACACCGATCAAATGAAATCTGCTTAAATACTGTTAAAAACTCTTTTAAAAAATATAATGTTTTAAAGAAAACCGCTTAAGATAGACATTGGTTTAGAGAAAACTGCTCTAAGAATAATATGTTCTAAATAAAAGTGTCTTGGGTACACACTGTTCAAAAGTGAAATGCCTAGTACAGACACTGTTCTAAAGAAAACTGTCTTGAGTATATACTGTCCGAAAAACAAGGGTAAGTAGACACTATTCTTAAGAAAACTCAGTTTTGAATGAAACTGTGTTGACTGCTCACTGTTATAAAGAAAACTGATTTGAGCAGACATTGCTTTAAGAAAATTGTCTGGAATATAGGCGCTTCTAAAGAAAACTGGTTTGTGTAGACAATGTTCTAAAGAAAACAGCCTTAAAAATACTCTGTTCAAACGAAAAATGTATTGATTTTGCTCTAAACAAAACAGTCTTTAGTAAACACTGATCTAAAGAAAACTGTCTTAAAATTAATCTGTTTTAATCTGTTTAATTTACACACTGTTCAAAAGAAAACTGTCTTGTGTAGATACTGCTCTAAAGAAAATTGTCTTATATATACATTGATCTAAAGAAAACTGTCTTAGAACTACTCGGTTCTAAATAAAATTGTCTTGTGTAGACAGTGCTCTTATGATAACTGTCTTGAAAAGACATTGATCTAAAGAAAACTGTCTAAGGAATATTATATTTAAAAGAAAACTGTCTAGTTTAGACACTGTTTTAAGAAAACTGTCTTGAAAAGCCATTGACCTAAAGAAAACTGTCTAAGGAATATTCTGTTCTAACTACAACAGTATTGAGTACCTACTGTTCAAAAAAAATTTTCCTGTGTAGACAGTGTTCTAAATAAACCCCTCAAAAGAAAACTGTCCTGTGTAAAGACCAACTGTCATGAGTAAACATAGATTTAAAGAAAACTGTCCAGTGTAGACAATATGCTAAATAAAACTGTGTAAAAAAAAACTGTATTTAATAGACATTGATCTAAAGAAAACTGTCCTATGAAAACACTATTCTAATGAAAACTGTCTTGATTAGATACTGCTCTAAAGAAAACTGTCTTGAATATTACTTTAGGTAAACACTGTTCTAAAGAAAACTGTCCTAATAATACTATATCAGTTTTCAAAGAGCGAATCTATCTTTTATAAAGGGAAGGGAGCTTGAGAAAGTTAACCTGTACTGTAAACACTGTTCTAAATAAAACTGTTCTAATAATACTATATCAGTTTTCAAAGAGCGAAACTATCTTTTATAAAGGGAAGGGAGCTTGAGAAAGTTAACTTATTCTGTAAAAATTATTGGAGTACATGATCCATTTAAGTAATCCAAAAACTATTTCCCTGTAATCATTATTGGAGTACATGATCTGTTTAGTAGTCCTATGTAATACAGTTTTTTAAAACAACTGGTCCATAGCCTGTATTACGTGGGTCTACTAAACGGATCATGTAATCCCCGTAATTTAAGAAAGGGAGTTAATTTGGGATTACACCGATGTAATGCATGAATGGATGGATTAGGTGGCAATGGAGTATGGTTTTCCATATATTTTAATTAGTTTTGAACCAGTCCTAGTCCTTTGAGAAATACTCTTTACACCCGGAGTAGTCTCAATTTTTGCAGGGTGACGAAGGTAAAACCTCTTAATGCAACGAGGGATGATAAATAAAAACTTAACGAGGGAATAGAACTGTGGATAGAATAACATTAATTCCATTGAGTAATTAGAGGAGGACAAAAAGCCTCCTCCGAGAAATACTAATTGGAAAATTCTAAGGTTATACACTCATGAAATTGAGTTTCTTAACATAGAAAGAAAATTTCTCTCACAGATCACTATACAAAATTGTTCATGTAAAGGAAAAAGTGATCTTGATGGACTTTTAGTTAATACTTATATCTGAAAGCCAGCAGATATATCAAATAAAATATTAATATTTAAACTATAAACCCCATGTTAAGTAAATTCCAACTGGGAAGCTATTAATTATAAAATTAGCGTGCCTTATTTGTATTAAATATAATCTACAAATTATCTAATTTACTTTTACTTTTTAACGCTTGAAACTTCTTCGCATATAAAATTAATATGCACACTAACCATATTAGTTAATTAAACATATTTTCAAATAGTATTACTGAAAAAAAAAGTTATTAATATCAAAAATATAAAAATAACCCGCTGTTTTAGCTAACTAATATTGTTCGATTAATTTATAAAACTTACCATCTTTATTATCATTAACATCATCATCATCATTAGGTTTATTATCAATATTTTCCGTTTTACGATCATAATGTTGTTTAGTATGATTTAATGTAAGCGTTTCATTACTATAAACATTTAACGAATGATTCTCTAAAGAAAACGTTAAAATGACCGTTAAATCACATACAAATATAAGCAAATATAATATTAAACGCGTATAATTTTTAAAATTCACCATTATGTAATAAATATTTTAATGATTTTTTTCAAATTATTTTATTATTACTTTTTTTACTTATTAATTTATTATCTTAATTAATCACAGTGTTTAATTTTTTGAAAAAAAAAATATATTTAATAAACATAAAATTCAAGTTGTAAATGAAAAATTACACATTTCCGCTTTTGTAAGAGGCGAAGAAAAGCTACACCAGCAGCAACATTTTAATATTCAAATATAAAGCTTTTTACATCCTGTTAAACAACTTTATCGAAATTTTCTATTTATTTTCTTTATTTTGAGTGTAACTATTTAATCCTGTATTGATTTTATATAAAAAGTATTTTTTTTTTTAATTTTTTCTTGCTTTTTTTTTAACACCCGTTGCAAAATTTAGCTTTGCAATTACTTCTATTTTGATCTACGGTCGTCAATCATGCGCTTTAGAAAACAAAAGTCATCAAACTGTTAGGTTCTAACTGGATAAAAATTATTTTATATGTTGTAAATAAGATTTTTCTTACAATTATTAAGAGTTAATTTTCTTTATTTCAAATTTTAAGAGAACAAATGAATTTAGT